AGGCGGCAGAAGGTACGTGAAGTAGCAGCTGATTATTGAAAGTATATTTGCCAAGGTCTAATGTAACGAGATGCATATCTTACATTGCCTCACAGAACCTCAAAAAACCTCCGCTCTTCAGGAATAATTATTTCCCATTCAATTAAATTCAAATGCTCAGGCTGCAGTTAAATGAAGTCAAGTTATCTCCTTTTATAATTGGGGCAGGCTCCAGAGATTCGTTTAAACACCATCCCATGGCAAAGGGAGATGGTTTGGGATGGGGAAAAAAAAAAATTGGGTCGTCAGAAAAGTCATGATGTATTTTTCTGTTTTTCTATGCAAAAAGGTATCATGACTTTTCTGATGAACCAATACTTGGGAATTGAAATACGCCAACCCAGTTCAACCTCACTGGCCATATAGAGTATTGTCATTATTTTAGTAATAGCATGATTACCATATATTCACTCCTGTGCCAAGCATTTGATATATTTTGATACTCACAAAATGCTTTAAAGGTGGTATGAGTTTTAATAGCTCATTTTTACAGGTGAAGAAACTAAGGCTCAGAAAGTTGAATTAACTTACCTATAGCCCCACAATTATAAACTGTCCAAGCTGAAATTTGAATCAAGGCCTACAATGGTTTCTACCCTGAGAGCTTTACCACAAAAACCAGCTGCCTTCTCAGGCTTGTTTGTGGGGCCAGTCATCTGGAAATGATCCAACTCCTTATATCAGAAAACACTGCTATATTGAAGTCCATTTTAAGAATGTGGGTCATTATGATTAGTAGAAAGAATGATAAAGTGATTAGAAGATATGTAAAGGTTTCTGCTTTTCCAATCATTAAAAATTATATAGCTGTATCTATAATATTTTAGGGGGAGTTAATTTTAGTAGGTTAAAAAAGAAATATCGCAGGCATTAAGGAACTCACTACTTAATTATATTTACATGCTACAAAGCACAAAGCATAGGGTGTACATCCAGGAAGCAAACAAGCTTCTTACACAAACGAGGTGGGCCACTTCCCAATTTTTCCTCCAAAGAGTGCCTGACACAGAACAAGAGCCTCATCAATGCTTTTTGAGTAACCAATGAGGGATGCATGGATGAAATAATTGAGCTACTTGTTACATCATCTTATTTCATATACATTCTTCCTAGTACAAGAGCTGCCAGGAATTTGAAGGGGGAGGGGATAAAGGGAGACATCAAAAAGAAAAAAATAAAAAACCTTTTAAAAGTGTGCACTATAAAATGGTGAAAGGTTCCATTATTTCAATTTCTCTAACTTTTGGAACCCTAGGAGCCCAGGGGAAGAGAGTTTGCGAACCACTATTCTAGAGATTTAAGTAATGGGAGTAAAACCAAACTGTCATTGAATAAATAAATCCCAAATGCCTTTATCCAGGTAGGTCTGCATTTCCTCTACCCCCTTCTTTTCTTTGCATCATTTTTCCTAGATGTGTCATCCTGGAGGGCTGAAAGAGGTTGAAGAGTGGTTAAGTATACCTCGGCTACGTGTGCAGGGCTTGAGTATGCAGCGCTTATGGACGCCGTGGTTACACAAAGGTAAAGCACAGTGATTAAGCAAGCAGTGGTTACATGCACAGGAGTTAAGTGGTAGTTAAACATGAGGTGATTAGGCCAGCAGGTTGCTTGGAGGTTAAAGCACTGAATCCCATATGGCCAGCTGTGCAGTTCGAGTCTCAGACCCAGCATCTTGCAAATCATGTTGGGTGCATGTGTGTACATGCCCAAAATCCCAAGAAGGGAGCCTGGAGGAGAAGGGATTGGAGCCTCTGGGGATTGATTTCTCACTTTCTCTCTCCCTTTCTTTGTCTCTGTCTCTCTCAGGCAAGCACACATGGAAACTACAATGGAAACTACAAAGTAAATAAAAACGCAGTAATTAAATACACACTTGTGAAGTATGCAGTGGTTAAAAGGAGACAGTGGTTACCTGTGTAGTAGTTAAGTTAGTAGGGTTAAATATGCAGTGGTGAAGTACACACTGGTGAAGAATGTAGAGGTTAAGCACACAGTGGTTACTTACGCAGTAGGTGACTATACAGTGGTTACTTACGCAGGGGTTCTTTTTTTTTTTTTTTTTTTTTTGAGAGGTTTTTGCTATAGGGCACGTGCGCTCACCAGAAAGACAGAGAGACAGAGAGACAGAAAGCATGAAATCACCCCCCAGGAAGGATGGCCACGTCACAATCCCTTCTCCTCCATTCTCCTCTCGGGATCTTGGGCACGCAAGCACATGCGCCCGGCATGAGTTTAAGCCACCAGGTCTGGGACTCGAACCACAGTTGAATACATGAGAGTCCAGCAACATAGCCATTACACCAACTGCTGGTCCCCATAGGGGTTCAATACACAGTGGCTCAATATGCAGAGGTTAAATACGCATCAGCTAAGTAGGCAGCAGTGTGGAATCTTCCCAGCTCAGAGACCTCTCTGTCTCTTATTTTCCTCATCTACAAGACGGGACTATAAAACATGTAGTTACCTGTCTCCTGTCTCCTGAATTTGTTACAAGCAATCAAGGAGGTGACTCACATAATATACCTGGGTTTGGTATAAAGTGAGTTTATTGTAAAGGGGCTTCTCTTAGGTCGCTGGAAAGGTCAGGATGTATTTTCTGTTTTTCTATGCAACAATGCGTCATGATTTTTTCCAATGACCCAATATTATTATAGTTATTACGATTTTTTATCACCATTGTTATTATCACCATTATTGTGGGTTTTATCATCTTGAGGGTCAGTCACATACAGGAGAAAAGGAGTCAGAGGCCTGGACACCATAACCGGATTGAGAACAGGGCATCACTTTGCACATTTCATGTCCAGAACCTTCTCTTCTGATTCCATGAAACTACAACCAAGTTCATTTTTCGAGAACCTCGTATTCCAGGCCCACCACCAGGATCTGTATGTGCCTGATCTAATTTAGCCTTCACCCTGACTTTAAGAATTAGTTTTTCTTTTTTAAGAGAGATTTTTTTTCTATAGGGTGCATGTACTTCCCAGAGAGACAGAGAGACAGAAAGGGAGAAATCACCCTTCAGGAGGGATGGCCACACTGCAATCCCTTCTCCTCCATTCTCCTCTTGGGATTTTGGGCACACACGCACACACATTCAGTGTGAGTTTCAAGCCGCCAGGTCTGAGATTCAAACCACGGTCAGCCCTGTGGGAGTCCGGCAACATAACCATGACGCCATCTGCTGGTCCCAAGAATTTGATTTTAATATTCCCACTTTTCATTTGTAAAAAACGAGTACCAGAGAGGTAACGGAACTTGCCCAAGGTTACTCAGTGAGTAAGTGGTAGGGTTCAGATTTGAATGCGAGGCTAGAGAACGCATCGACTCTGGTTTAGCTGTTTTGGACGCAATGCATTAAAAGTATAGAAATTCTCTTCCTTCCCCCTCTTCCCTTTATCTCTCCCTACCACTCTTGGAAACAACGCCTTACAAATCTCTCCAGACCAGATGTTGAAATTCACTTCTCTAAGGCGATCGGACATAGTCATTGCTCCCTCGCTGAAACCACAGCCTAACTAAAGCCTACAGCCTGGGTGGAGGGGCACACTTCCTCTGTGAAGGCCACCCTGGCTTTCCAAGTCACTTCTTCAAGATTCAGTAGCCACGTCTCCTAGACTCAGGGTTTTTAACTAGGTGAGCCTATTCTTCAGCCTCAGGGGTCTACCAGCCTCTGAAATGGTACCCAGTTCTCCGTGTTCTTGGAACATGTTGATTTTACCTGGAGGTAGCACTTCAAGAACGTCCATCTAATTCTTGAGTGGGTGGTCAATACGGCTCAGGAACTCTACGTTGGTAAACTAAGATCTGCAGGATGTAGGTTTTTGCCATAGGGCGGGCGCCACCATGCCCATACAAGAAATGGAAAATTATTTGTTGACAATAACGAGTATGTTGATGTGCTTGATTGAGACAATATACAGTGTACTCTGGATGGACAAATCTCATTTTGTATGCTGTAATGATGTACAGTGAATGAATGTAAATAAACTAAAAAAAAAAAAAGAAGTCCTCAGGCTAATGTTGGCCCTGCTATCAACTGGCCTCAGTTTCCTCAGGTGCACGATGGCTCGGATACCCTCTGAGTCAGCATAAGGAGTCAGGGATTGTGTCTGGGACATTCACTCACAAGGACATCAGATTCACTCTCCACCTGTCACTGGAGGATAGAGACAGGCTCATGGCTGCGGGAGAGTGGTAGGTCGAAAGGGAAGTAGGGATCAGGCTTTGATCCAGCTCGTAAAGCTGGATTATAAAGACAGCCCTGTCAACATAGTCACATTCCCCAGAGGCAAAGATGGGCCTGACTTCAAATGCGTATGGTGTCATATTGAAAAACAGATGAGAAAGCGTAATTTCCCTTTTCGGTAGCATCAACGGGATAATATGGTAGGGTTTAATTGAGCACTTAAGCTCAGAGATTAGAGGGGCCAGTAGGTGGCGTGGTGGTTTAGGGAACTGGACTACCACATGGCTGACCATGGTTCAAGTCCTGGACCTGGTGGCTTGCTTTCTCACTTTCTCTCTCTCTCTCTCTCTTTCTCTCATTCTCAGCAAAGTAAAAATAAATAAATAAAGTTAAATAAAATAATAATAATAATAGAAAAAGATCAGAGATTGAAGTTCAAACTTCACCCTGCCAAAGGCACTGTATCTGTCTAAGCCTCAATAAAATGCTTGGCTGTTAGCATAGCATTTATCACATAGCAGGTGCTCAGTAAGTACTTGTCGAATAAGGGCATTAAGAAATGAAGGTGAAGATCTGGAACTCAGGTATGCGTGGAAGTCATGATTTGGAAGTCAGTGGCTGATGAAGGCGTTAGAAGAGAGAGGAACTCTATCATTTTAGGTAGGAGTGGACAAGCCATGGCCCACAAGCCAAATATAGAGGGCCTCCTGCTTTGTATAAACACAATTTTATTGAAACTCAGTATCCTTACTTGTTTCTATACTGTCTATGGTTGTTTTTGTGTAATAATGGCAGAGTTGAGTAACAGTGATAGAAACCATTGGGGGTCCTCAAATCGAAAATACAAGAAAACTTCAGAAAGTCTGTGGAAAGAGGAATTAACTGAAGACTTTATTTTGGTGCAAAAAATGTGAAATTCATACTTTTGTTTTCATAACATGCATTTCCCACAAACTTTTTGAAGACCCCTTGCATTTACTATCTTGACCTCTGCAGAAAAACTTATGGATCTCTGCCTTAAGAGTAGGAAAAAGAAATTTGCAAAAGAGAGAGAGGAGAAGTGGTTGGGGAGGTGACTTTTATATCCATAGCCTGCACCCAAACTTCCCATTGGCCTGAAAAGAAAGGGGAGGGGGCAGCATCCCACCTGTGTGCTCTGGTAGGACCCAGTTCTCGGCAGGCCTTGTCTCTCTCCCAGCTGTTGGTGCCCAAGGCCTCAGTAACTAGACATGGTCCTAGCTTTTCTGAGGCTCCATCCTGGGCTGGCACCATGGAGTTGCTCTGGGGCTCTGCCCTATAGAAGAAGAAATAAACAAAGAAGCAAAGGGTTAGGGTAGACACAGACACACTTAATGGTCACTAAACATTCATAGACTTCCTAATGTTTCCCAGCTTCCCTTGCAGTTAGGTTAAAGCCATGAGGTTTATCTTTGGTCAGTGGTCTCTGAGTAGAAGTGACATATGTCATTCCTGTTCAGGCAGTCAAGATCCGGGGCTCTCTTCTTCTGCCATAGTGATTTTAGAGGCCATAGGTTCTTTTTTTTTTTTTTAGAAGTTTTTGCTATAGGGGGCGGGCGCTCGCCAGACAAACAAAACAGAGAGACAGAAAGCAAGAAATCACCCCTCAAGGGGAATGGCCACACCACAATCCCTTCTTCATTGTCCTCTTGGGATCTTGGGCATACACACACACACATGCTCGGCGTGAGTTTAAGCCACCGGGTCCGGGACTCGAACCGCGGTTGACTACATAGGAGTCCCACGACATAGCCATTACGCTAACTGCTGGTCCCAAGGCCAGAGGTTCTTGAAAGGTGAAACTACTTGGGACCAGCAGATGGAATAAACGGTTACGTTGCTGGACTCCCATGTAGTTGACTGTGATTCGAGTCTTGAACTTGGCAGCTTAAAACTCATGCAGGCCACATGTGCATGCATGCCCAAAATCCCAAGAGGAGACTGGAGAAGGGACTGCAGCATGGCCATTCCCTCAGGGAGTGATTTCTCATTTTCTGTCTCTGTCTCTGTGTGTCTCCCTGGAGAGCACACGTGCCCCAGAGCAAAAATCTCTATCTATAAAAAGAAAAGAGAAAGATGAAGTTACACAGTGAAGGAGATGCCTGAACCCTGTCATACTTTGCAAGAGAGAAATGAACCTTAATTAAGTTAAGCCACTCAAATTTAGGGGCTTATTTGTTACTGTAACATTGTCTATCTTATCCTGACTAAATCATAGACTGATGCTGGAAACCAGAATTCTATTTCCTTTTTGAAGACATGATTAAGGCCAAAGCATAGTAGGATTAATTCAAACTCCCCTTTGCCATTTCTGTTCCATTTCTTTGCCATTTTCTGTATGCAGGACAGATGAACTTGGATTCAAATGCTATAGCTATTAGGCCTGAGGCCAGAAACTTAACCTGTCTGAGTCATAGTTTCCTCAATTACAAACTAGAGATGAATATCAGCCCATGTATTGTTGAGCTGTTTTGAAGATAAAATGAGATAACATACACAAACAGAAAAGCCTAAAAAGTGTCTGTTTCTTTGCTTTTACTTCCCTGTGAACTAAACCTTCAATCTGGTATCCTTAGCAGCTATGAGGTCACCACTTTGGGACAGCAGTTCCTTTAAAGGTCTAAAGTTCTCCCTCTGACCCTGACATAGGTTTCAAAAACTATGAGTCCCTCCCCTCTTATTGAGTCCCAGAGTGGGAAAAGAAGTTGTCTAGGTATTCAACCTTTGAATGGACTATCACTCAAATTCTGGGCTCCGAAGGAGGAGGAATCAGAAGTTGGAGAGTCACAGGTGTAATGGGCACCATCTGCCCAGCTCCTTTCCCTGCTCACTTGCCTTCAGACCCCAGGTCAAGCTCTGATCCAAAGCATTCACATTTCTCACGCATCAGGCTCCTGCAGCCAGTACATCAAGATCAGTTTTATGACTCAGGATGAATGCAGTTGATAAGCCCCCAGCTCTTCAGAGCAGGCCAAGCCCAGTCAATATTGAAGGAAGTGCAGCAGAACACATCCATCTCTGTCCGTTGGTTATCGGTGCATCACTGGGAGATACTGCAAGCCCAAGAGAGATGGAAAGTCTAATCAGGGCTGCCCGGCCCTCCTCAATGCCATCTGCATGCTTCCAGAACTTCCTTCCACTAGCTTCGGTTTTTCCTACACCTTCCTGCCCCACTTCTCCTGCGATGAGGGTTGCATTTCCATATCTTTACTCCAGCTAGTCTATTCCTGAGAAATACTGGCCTGGTTTTTCGCAGACAACTCATTTTACGATTTCTGCCAGCAATATCTCTGGCAAGGCTTGCTTCTATTTTTTTTTTTTAATTTTTATTATCATAATTTTGTTTATATTACATTGAATCACATATAACTTTACAGTGTATTACATTTCTTTTTCCAGAAGGAATACCATTCATATCAGTCAATACAAAGACTTTAAAATCCCCATCATTGGGGGAACCAGCAGTTAGCGTAATGGTTATGTTGCTGGACTCCCATGTAGTCGACCGCAGTTCGCGTCCTGGACCCGGTGGCTTAAAACTCACGCCAGGCGTGTGTGCGTGCGTGCCCAAGATCCTGAGAGGAGAATGGAGGAGAAGGGATTGCGGCGTGACCATCCCCCCTGGGGGGTGATTTCTCGCTTTCTGTCT